AGAAGCTGAAGTTGGAACATGGTGCAGCAGGAGGCAGTTGCTTTTAATTTCATGCGTAACACATGTGGAAGAAATGAACCATGAACACAGTGACAGTGAATGGTAGGTTTTTTCGTCATCGTCGAGATCTAGATCAAGATCGCTGCCACCTGTTCGAAAGGTCCTGAACCTAGGTACCAACTATTGGGAACAGTATTTTCTAACCTTTCGCCCAGGCCAGGCCATGCCAAACGCTTACCCGAAAGGTGGGCCAAGTGTTCCATGAAGATTCATGAACCGTAGCATGGTACCTTGATTGGTAGGATGCTATCTTGGATTGGGACACTCCTGAGTCTTGCGCTTGGAACACGCATGGAGTGAGAGACACTGGGTCCATGTCCTGCCGTGCCACACTACTCTCAGGATGAGAGAAATCCTCAATGAAGTGCAAAATCCCTGGCGTCGGGTCCAGGGCTTGGTGCTGAAGCTTGAAGATCGTGAAACTCAACGGCAAAACACATCCACCAAGGCCTACAGGGATTCCAACCAACGCTTTACCCAGATGGTCAAGGCAAAGTGATTGACTTTTCATGAAGAGCAGGGCTGGTAACTGCTTCAAAACCAGCTGTCAGTTTAAGATTTTTACCGGCTAGGAGATGGACGCTGACACTGAGTTCAGTGACTATTTGATGGACCGCCCTGATATCGCCAGCTTCTAAGTCAGCCAAAACCTCCAACAAGTGCAAAACCTCTTACACGAGGCACTTTCCGTGGCCAAGCAATCATTTGCCAGCGTGGTTTCCAAGACCGCCTTATCCTTATACGTTGCCCCAATATGCAAGCATAATAATTAGTTACTACTCGTCATCACATCCCTCCTCCCAGGTGGCAACGTATCTTCGAAGCCTTGATGGCATGGAGAATCCATGTGAATCGATCTTCAAGGCCTGTGCGATCATGCAGGAAGCAGTAGAGATTTTGGACGAAGGAGTTGATTTTGATGTCAGCTTCCTCACTGCGTTGCATAGCAACGACCAGTGAAATTAAAACAGGTTTGTCAATCTAACCTGAATTAGCCAAACCTTTCAGGGCGCGGGGAATTCCCTTGGTTGGCCAGAAAGAAAATGAATAGTCTTTTGATGTAGACAGGTTTTGTCCGCCAACTTTTTGCACTGCCAGTCGTTGTTGTTGCTGCAGCCCTTTTGCCATTGCCCCACTTTGGGGGTATCGCCCGGCTACAATGCCACTTTCGGATGTGGAGTCTTTGAGCGATGGTGGGGGTGATACACAGCCGGGCACTAGGTATTTTGATTGTTTCATTTCTGTGGAGGTAATGATTCGGAGCAAGTTGGCACGGCATCCACACCCAGTCCTTCCTTCCCTATCTCTCTCTCTTCCGGGCCCGAGGCCTGCTGATCTTCCAAAGGAGGCCTGCAATCAAGCGCTGATTCAGTGCTGTGCGGGTTGGGTTGAATTGGTTCGTTGAGGCCTCTCGCCATCCCAAGTGGGGTGAATCAGCAGCCCTTGGAGTGTTTAGGGCTCGCAGACCATGGTTCCTGCCGCAGTTGCCGCGAAAGCCACTGGATATAGTACTCGTATTTCAGCCCAAGTAGATTGGAACACTATGCATCATGTGCTCAAGTAAAATCAACTTCGTTGTTGATGTCTTTGGATCTAGGTACCGAAGAAGCCAGCCACTGGCTGCAAGCTTCCCAAAAAGGGAGCCATCCAGCAGACCCGCTGCAGGGTGCAAACGTGGGGGACCATACGTCCACCTCCCAGCCCTTTGCCTTGTCCAACTGCATCGATCCACCGGCAATCTCCTGAGGCGTCTTTGGCGCCACCCAGAAAGCCAACCGGAACTACCTCTCGGTGAGGGGCACCCGTGACTGGATGGTTGATTGCAAAGTTGCATGTCGTGTGTTTGTCATCTTAGATTGGAGCATATTCTTCGCGAGGATTTCGGGACCCAAGTGTTCTACTGGGACCGGTATACCCGTGCTTGCCGGCTACACAAAACGCCAAAGGGCACCTATGTCAGCCCAAGCATCGCAGAATGGATGGCGGGTGCTTCTGCCTAGTCTTAAGTCATTGGAATCAACATCACTGATCTCACCTCACTAAGTCATGGAAGTCTTTTTGGAACTTACTTGATCTTACTTGTCAATAGGTCAAGCAACATCAAACGCCAGGTCTTCCGTCGGGGTGGACCCTTGCAGAACGTGGTGCTTCTCATGGGCAGCTGAAGACCCTATATCCATGGCTGATGAATGCCAACCCTGAGGTGTGAGGTATGGTGTGAGGTATGGTGAACATTTCATTTTTGTTGGTAGGCAGTCAAGCACCGGAACCTGTCGCTCTTCAGTGGTGCGTGTGGGCTGGAGCTCGGCATTGGGATGTCTTCGCCCCAGATTCGGGGAAAGGAATGGCTGTCCAATTGTCTTTCTGGTCATGCCAGTCAGCCCCCAGGTTCGTGCAAAGTGTCGCGTTTGCCTGCTACTTACAGCGCTAGTGTTGGGAAGCTCTGACTAGCCTGTTTTTTAGCTTTTTAGCGCTTGATCTTTGCTAAATATTAAACTGAGGTGGAAATCTCGGAGTATTGCCGAGAAATCATCAAAGCCCGCATGGACGATGGCTTCCTTGAGAAGGCTTTGGTGCATGATGACGTCACGAGCTTTCATCCGTCTATGGTGGGTGGTCCAATTGATGGCGTATCAGCTGGCTTTCCTTGCCAGGCACTTCAAGCAATCAGAAGCAAACTTCATTTTTTTAAATGAACTATTGGTTCGCAACATTTGGTTTCAGGGGGTCAGCAAAGCTGGCCTGGGCCTGGGGCTTTCAGATACCCGAACTGGATTGGCCAGTGAAATCTGGAGGATCTACGATCTGTGCAAGCCTGCACCGCTGCTCGTAGCAGTTCATATCAATGTAATACTCTTGTTTAAACCCCACCCATCGAACATCATCGAACCATCGAACTCAGGAAGTATGTATTTCTGGAGAACGTGTCTGCCATTATGTCTCCAAATCAGGAAGAACTTCTCACATGGCTGCAGAAGGACCAAGCCCAGTCAAACAAAAAAGTAGTGTCCTGCATCTTCTCGCGCAGGAAGCAGCCAACAGAGGTCTCCGGCTGACCTACGTGGTGGTGAATGGCCGGAACATCGGTGCACCGGTGGGGTACCAAAGGGGTGCATCTGTCTGTGCGGGTGTGTTCTATTTTTTTTGCTTCTGAGATCTATCGAGAGCGGGCTTTCTTTTTGATTGCCAAGCCGGGATTCAATTTCTTCAAGGCCCATGTTGGTTTTGGTTGTTCCTTGAACTGTCAAGCATCCCTAGATTCTATTTGGGGTGGCATTGCATTCCATGTGTTGGCCAGGACCACACAATGATGACAGGAGAGCAACTGAAGGCTTGGCCTGCCGCTGCGTGGCAGTCCAATGGCGATCGCCCTGAGGTGCACCGTTGGTTGGCTCCTAGCCAAACGACAACGGACAAACACCGTCTAGCAGTGGTAGGCAACGTGGTCGTGCCACAGATGGCTTTCTATGCTTGCAACTGCCTTTGTACCATGTGGCCTTTCTAAATTGGTGCAATGAAGTCTGAACGACTAATTAAAGGGGTTCCTGCTGCTGTGTTGATATATACACGGCTGTTGATCAAAAGAGCTTTCAGCGTAGCTGAAAATGCACACAAACTTAGATTCGGTCAGTAAAGCTTTCGTTACTGAAAGAGCTGGGACAGAGTTCAACACATCAATGTTTCATCTCAAAGCTTTCCATGTTGGAGCAAGTTGGCAGCCGAGTACCTTCAAGGGTGGGGAGGAACTTGAAGGTGTCCATCCGGCCACCTGGGACCGACCAGCGCTGCTGACGTGTTTGCCAGCTTGACATTGATGTTTTTCGTTTGTCGTGCTCTCAGCTGCTTTCCATTGGTCCATCTTTGTTCAAGGGGTAACGGAGACTGTGTGTTTACAAAATACAGTCAGGGAGTCAGCATCAGTAAAGAGGAAAACTCTTCAAAGGTTTGGACATGTCATACAAAATCAATGATGGAGCCGAAACAACTGCCATGTTTTTGAACATAAATGCACTATATAGTGAACTTTACACTATGCCCCCTTCAGTGCATCAAGCGGTCATAAATGCACTATATAGTGAACTTTACACTATGCCCCCTTCAGTGCATCAAGCGGTCTGAATGGCCTGATCGCTGCAGTGCGTCTTCCAGGACCCAACAAACCTGGATCCAAGCAAAAGTGTGCACTCATACCCTGGGGCAGGACATGAGTACTTTGATCTCAGAAGACTTGTGAAAGAAAAAGAAGCCTTGGTCTCAGAAGTGGTTGGGAGGATGCTGAGGCATTTGTGGTGCAATCAGAGTGAAAGAACATATAGAGTACCCCAAACAGACTGTGAACCCGCAATGTGTTAAGTAAGATTCACACATGATCATGGAAGACACATACCGCGCGTGCCTGGTCAGGTGGTTGCTGGGCTGTCATCCACCTGAATTCCGGAGTGGAGAAGGCCAATGCGATTTCTCCGATGCGATTTCTCCGATTGGTTAAAAGGGTGATGTTGGTTCAATGTCTTGGCAAGGTGGGGTTGAATGCCATTGCCTCCTATAGATGAGTTGAGCGATGAGGAGTCCCTTGCGAAAAAACCTAGTGGCACACCCGTCTTTAGCGTGAAGAAACCCTGGGATGCCCGAAGACGACCAATGGGCTTCAAGAAGAAGCTGGCGGCGCGACTGGTCGAGCCAATGAAGTTGAGACATTTAGTCAGTTCTCGATGTGCTTGCAAGAGTGGGGATTGCTTGAAGCCTTTCCATCAAAACCATCATTTGTTCGATGCCTGGGTGAAAGATCGAAGGGTCTTTTCCAGCATGGCAAAACTCGAGCAAGACCAGCATGTACAATGCTCAGTTTCTGGAAACATACATGAGCAATGTGAAGAAACACACTTTCGAATGAGGTTGAATGTGAAGAAAACTCATGGCCACCCGGCGGATCATCCCAGGTCTTCACCATCCTGAAGAGCCACCCAGTCGAGGCCTGCCGGGGAGCAGTTCATCTCACATACATGGGGCAGCGGGTTTGCAACAAAGCGTTTCACAGACTGCTTTCAATAGGCAAGGAACGATTTCAGAAGTTGCGGGCATCAGTGAGAAATGGTGATGAATATTGTCCCTACGATGCCCGCTACATACCAAAAGGAAAGCAGCCACCATCTCCAGCCAGACAATTGGTGTTTGACTTCCTGCATGGGCTCTATGAAGAGTCCGCGGAAGTGATTCCTGACGGGCTGAACTCAAACAAACGTCCTCGCCAAGCCCAGCACAGGCTGGATGGGAAGAGCATGTTCCGTGGGGATATCAGACATCTCCCCCCAGGATCAATCAGTGAATACTACCAGTTGTGCTGTGCAGCAAACCCAAGTACAGCGATCAGCCGGAAGCTTTTTTCGAGTGCTTCTTGGAACCAACAGAGTTCAGCGTTTCAATCCCTTACCCGACTTAGACTGTTGTTCTCGTATGTTTGTGGCGTTCGACTCTCGTGCTATGTTTCTTATACACATGAGATCGCACGGCGCATAAGGTATGGATGACAGATTTCAAGGAGCGGCTGCGCATACGCTTTTCGAAGCATCACTCAACCTGCAGTATTTGCCTGAGACACAAGTTACTCCTTAAACGCCTTGGTCATTGCGGTCCTGCACGCCGAGCGCAGTTGCAGTTATTGCAGCAACACAGAACAAGGCAGCGCAGGGATCGCCAGTGCTACTGGATGATGAGGGCATCCAGTCGCCTGGATGCACAGGCGGCTTCGCCTTCAACGATCTGCTGCATCTTGGACAGCATGGATGCTGCCAAACATTCCTGGCCAAGAAGCCAGATCATGAAAAGCAAAGAGTTCAGTGCCTTTAACAGGCCGCGACTGACATCGACAACTCTATTGGTGCACGGGCACCTGGCATTGCTCGGATTAAGCCCCCATTTTGTCAGCAGCAACTCCAGCCGCTCATGCGAACTGTTGAGCCACGCGCTCACCCTTCTGTCTGAGAAGGTTCGTCTTGAAGGAGCTTGTCTCCACATCCAGGGGGACAACTGCTGCCGGGAATTGAAAAACAACTCGGTCCTTAGGCTTTTGGCCATGTGGGTTGCGGTTGGCAAGGTAGCTCGTGCCCAAATGGCCTGCTTGACCAGCGGCCACTCACATGAAGACATAGATGCTCTTTTTAGCCTGCTACGAGCTCATCTTCAAGACCACCAAGAATTGTGGACTCCATTGGATTTTCAACGGTGCCTGGAGAGGTGGTTCGCAAGTGAGGATCACAGGCCTCATGAGCCTATGCGGCGTGTGTGTATGATATCTCGATTTCGGGATTGGAACCTTGATCGAATTGGAAGAGATTTGCGTCAGACATCATACACCTGTGTGTGATATGTGACACATCGTGTCAAGTGTTGGAAGGTACAATGTTCGGTTTCTGTCAACAACACATTCCCAGAGATGGCAGGAAAAACTGGCTGCATGAAGCCTTCGACTTCCTGCAGCTCTCGGGCATGGGAGGGCCTGGTGCCCCACATGTGTTCCAATTGCTGCGTATTGCTGATTCCGGACCATCCTTTCAGCCTACATGTTGACTGCAACTTCTTTAGGGTTGATCAACACATATACAAATCCCGACACAAGCTTTCCACGTACCCGCCTCCAGGAATCCAGCGGCACACCTTGGACGAGGGCTTTTGGAACAAGGTTGGCTATGAGCCCAGCCCAGCTGATGTGATTCTGAGGAGACCATTCGTTTTTCGTTTGTCATTAGGGGATCTTTGTAAGCTGATGTTTGCAGTAAAAAGTTCTGAAACTCAATGGAAGATGGGATCGTTGAGGACCAAGAGGTTCCAATCGGATGCGCACTGGCAGACTCCAGACAAGCTTTTCTTGCCCGCTTGTGTGGCTGCTCGATGCAAAGGAGATGTGCCACCAGGCTAGTTTTGAAATGTTTTGAACAAACTTTGTTAGAGTGGAGTCTAAGAGATAAACTACGAAAGAAACATGCGTCAGTCTTTTTGGACAAGCCCATCAACGTTGACTCCAAAGACAACAAGGCCTTCAGGAAGTACGCCAGCTTGATGCGTCGGAGCCTCAACGATTGCGCTACAACGTGATAGACCAAGACCAATAATATGACAAAACCCTAGTGGCAAACCATGTCGTTCAATGTAGTTTGAAAACCTTTCAACACACAAGCACTTGAGGTCAGGATCCTTTCAACATGCACTCAGCCGCGAAGGCCCTCGAAGACTCTGCCAACAACACTTGGCAGCCAGATCCACTCTTGGATGTGAGTTGGTGGTTGCCCCAAAAGCTCAAAACATTTCAAAACCGAAACGTATGTGAACATTTCACGACCATCTTTTTTGGTGCGGGAAGCCAGCGCTCGCTGAGGGCCTTGCCAGCAGTCGGTCCCAGACCGATGCCTGCTCCGAGAGCCGGTGGTGGACATCATCGTGGAAGAGATTTGGAAGCGGCTGGGGCCCTGGAATCCTACTTTTATCGACTTGGATTTGATTAGTCAGCTGTCAACCACAGAAGGCCCCAAACGCACTTCGACTGCGACGAGAGCGACCCAACGCAGATGAAGCTCGATTGTACAGGACCGCTAGGCAGAACCAAGCATTGTATAGGGCGGCTGCTCATCTCTGGAGTGCTGGCATGTCAATGCATGATGCCATAAACACTGTCAGAGAAGCTTTGGGTTTGGGCTAGGGTGCAGGGGTCTTGCACCTGACTCAGTGGTGGGGCTCAACTAAGTGCAATGGTTTTGTGAATGGGAACCTACTCACCGAACGCCTCGTCCTGAAACACCATGAGTTTGTGAATGATGCTGTCGACATCGTTCAGAAATCCGATGTTACCCACCATTAGATTCAGCCGTGGAATTGCCTGCATCAGATTTGCGCGCAATTCAACCTGGTCGGCAGGCTTGAGAGAATGATGCTGTCAACATCGTTCTTGAACTTGGCTGTAGCTACAGCAGCTGACTTTGTGAAATCATCACCATTCACAAACCCCCACCAGTCAGAGCCCTAGAGGAATACCGTGACCAACCGGCCTGCGCACATGCCAGGCTATGCCGCCCAAGCGGAGGACCTCAGGCAATACCGGGGGAGGTGCTGTCAAGAAGATCAAAGCTGGCCATGATGTGCCAACCGTCCCTGCTGATGCGTTGGTCTTGCCACACATGGCATTGTTTGACACATGGGCGAACCTTGGAAAACATGGTGATCCCAGAAAGAAACAATGTGTATCTTGTGTTCCCTTGGCACGCTTGATGCCTGAAGGAACGATAACCTGACCAAGCACAACAAGACTATCGATGCATTGCTCACACAATCCCTGGCAGATAAGGCGCGCGGACAATGGGGTTCAATAGTTCTTCAAGAACGTACTTTTGGGAAAAGACTCTCATACAAGTCTTGGATTATATGGCAAGTATTCAATAGATTCAACACCAGTCATGAAAAATTCAGGACAATGCCATGGCATTCTACACTTGGATGGAGAAGACCTTCCCTCCGACCAAATCTGTGTCCCGCACTGAGATCTGGTAGTAGATTAAGAAGCCCATCCTCAGCTATCGTTTGCAAGGACCTATGTTACGGCGGCTGATCTTCTTTCACCGGGAAGAGAGTGGAAAATGCGGCCGTGGCAGCTGCCACATCGAAGTGACTGCGGGCTTCGAGGTACCAGTGACCCTGTCTGACCCCCAGATGGTACCAATGAAGCGAAATGAAGTGGAACGGTTCAATTGTTGGTTTCATCTGAGGAAATCCAACTGTCACTGGCCCAGCTTATTTTATTGAATGGACTACAAACTGATGCCAATGTCCCAGGATGTGAGAAACTGACAGTCACCTGCCTTCAAAAAGCATGGCTTGCAACGGAGACTAATGAAATCACCAACGCTGAGCTCGGAGTATCCACAGACATGGCTCCAGCCATGAGCATATTCATGGTAAAGGGCTGGAACAGAGCCACTTGCGCACTTGGAGTCCTCTATGCAATGTACACATTACCAGCCTTGCTAGAGGCGAGGTGTCATTTATCAAGTGTGCATTTCAAGAGACTGATTGGGGTACAGTTAATTGTGGTACAGTTGCAGTCATTGGTTCAAAAGACTGTTAGCGTTGGGTTCGCAGGCAACTCCAGAAGATGTCAGACAGTGCCTGAGACAACATATCAGTCAATGGATGGTTCAAATTTTACCTTCGGAAACCTTCGGAAGCTTCCAAGGACCTTTGCCGTCGTCTGGGCCAACTCCGTGGCCCCAGATTTGGCGCAGGTGATCTCGACCAATCGCGGGGTGACTCTCGCGAGCAGTGTACGGCGCAAGCCCAACTGCTTCAACATAGTCCATCAACTGGAAGTGCAGCTCCGATCAGGGGTGGCTCAGAACACAGCACTCAACCAGCTGGAGGCCTGAATGATCTCACCTTGTGTGTGGTGGGAGCAGTATTCAGGGGTTGGTTCGTCTCTGATGAGGCCAGTGAGGGAGCTGCTGCATTTGCGTCCGCCTATTCCCTCGGCCGACAAGAATCTGCCGCCGCCGTGAACTTGTTGAAGAAGGTGCCACCAGTGGTAAAGGATACATTGACTACTTTGGTGCAGTGACTGGACAAAGTCAGAAACACTATATAAATATGTCTGGACCAGTCATTGAACGCCATTGCAACAATGTGCATTTTCGCTGCAATCAATCATAATATATCATCAATTATGTGCAATGATGGGCTCAGGAAATATACGATGCCTCGCTTTGTGACACATGAAGCAATAGCGTCGGGCTTGATGAACGACTCCCACTCCACCGCCAATGGCATTTTTGCCCCATGGAAGGGAATTCTAACCAACAACGAACCGGTCTTGATGGTCATGATGACCAGGATGGAGAAGGATTGGATCGCAGTGGCGGCGAGATCACGGAAGGCTTGGAACCTGAAGGACTTGGATTCTGGGACGCACTAAGCTGGGGGTGATTACCTGCAACAATTCATGTTCCTGTTTCCAACGCAAGTTAGCTGGACAATGTTTTCAACCTAAGGAGCCTCTGCAAAGAGTATGTGCGGCCTTCATTGCTTGCCTGCAGCAATTCCAATCAATGGTTCCAAAGGCATTTGCCGATGCTGCCCTGGTAGACATCCATCAAGCGCTCTTAGGATTGACTATTAGCAAACAATCGAACCGTTCTTGTAATTGAGTATTAGCGACCCATCGAAACAATGTTCTTGATGAAGCCAAAGTTGTTTGAGTCGACGCCTGTCGCCCTGCCGCCCCTTGATGCCAAGGTTCGAATTGCGCCACGGCGACGCGGATATCCTCGCAATGTTGGAGCATGGGGTACCGCCCGTGGATCTCGGGAAGATTTCTATCTTCTCATCCCACATCGCCAAGTACAGAGTTGAGGCCCCTGAAGTTTCTGAAGTTTCTCAAGTTCCACCGCCCCAACACTCGTCTTTCCAGTGAACCGTGCCTGCCAGGCCGAAAAGCAAAGCCAAGCCCATGCCGCGCAGTCCTTTGGCTGCACAGGGATGACCGGCGTCAAACAATGAGACATGGGGTTGTGGCCTGTGGAGGAAGTTGTATAAGGTTGAATGCCCAACTCCTTCAAACTACATGGCAGCAGACGGAACTGCAAATGAAGTCCGATTTGGAACTTCTGAAGGGTTGGGGACGCAAGTTTGATTTGCACTCATCGCAGCAGGCTGGTCTAATCATGTATTGGGAAATGGCATGAAGTGATATCTCATTGATACTTGTAGAATCTATTCGAACATTCGAGAAAGCAACAACTATTAATGTCAGGGATCCCTCGACTTCAAGTTCATCAGTGACCGCTACAACAGGGGCAAATCGGAAGTGGAGAAGTTAATGACTGAGAAGCATGTTCTGCATAGCTGCGCTAGCATTACGATGGCGCATGCTCCAATCGTGAATATGCAGCAACAAATGGGACATTCGGGGTTGCTTGGATGCTATGAACATGAAATGCAACAAATGGGGTGTTTAACATGGGATGCACAAATCCCCTCCACCTACGTTCCAGGCTGACCCTGCTGATCGTTGACGCAACTTTGTGGCCCTCTCGCAGCTGAGATGCAATCGTGAAATGTGCATATGGGGCTTCAACACTGACTTCAACACTGATAAAACTTGGTTCCTCATGTGTTCCCCTTTCAGGTGCCGTTGCGATAGACGAGGCAATTCAGATGTGCCAGGCAATCTCAACGGGGAATTGCCGAACCTTGGCTTTCATCTTGCTCCCACAGCCCTACAACACCGGGCACAAGGCTTTGGTCAACAAGCACCGGAGGCTCCTGGAGGACAAAGTCCATGGGTGCCTCGCATAGATCTACTGCAAGACCTAAGACCGCACGAGACGGTTGGAATAGGTGTTGAGGGGGATTGGCATAAGTGTTTTTTCTATGGCTTTTCTATAAAGGTCCATGGACTACTTCGAGATCAGTTTGAACTTCAACTTTGCAACGCATCAAGGGGATCGCCGGAAGCTTTCACAACCATGTGTCTTGCATAGGTTACACGTTGCCTTGTTCTTATGGATTGCAAGCATATTGTTATATATCTAAGTTTTGCTGTCTCGGCCAACTTCCACATCTCAGGCTTGGGGGCCATGGTGAACAGCACAGCTTCGTCGTTCACCAAATCGCGTGCATTGTTGGGATCCATAACCGGAGTGGACAGAACTCGTGTCAGTGACTTGCAGAACCCTGAGCCCGAACAAGCTCTGGCACCACACTGGAGGGTGTCTTACTTGAGTTATCTTGAGTTATTTTAGATGTTGTTGGGCCATGGTTTACCCCTGCAGTCCTTACTTTCCACTGGAGTTGATTGAAGCGCAGTCTTTGATATCGCTTACACACCACTTCAATACTGTTTTGCATTTTTTCGCATCAGGTTCAGCAGAGAGGAATCCCGGCGACTCAATCCATCATCTCGGAGATTCTTCAGGGAGTGGACACTGTTCCCAACCAACCTGTCCTCATTGTTGACTTACTTCCAACAAGGCAGGGTTGGGACACACTTTATGGCGCAACTTTATGTGCAATGTCAAACGATTGTTCTTTTCTTCTAAATTTGGAAATCGTGAGGTTTGCGGAGTGGGGCTTTGCTTCCTGGGCTATGCAGCTGGAAAGATTGTCAGCTGAGGACCCCACCTCAACAGACCTGGATCTTCGCTTCCTGGCAGTGTACCACTCCGACTCGGCGGCTGAACTGTCTGCCTATGAGAATTCTGTGAAGGGCAAGATGATGGCTGATTGGTGGGACAAATCCACGGTGGCTGGTCCCAAGGCGAGGCCTCAAACGTCTTTCACAGAGGCATTGCCCACACTGGAATGCTTGTCGGTGGTGGATGGCGAAATCAGGAGCCTTCGTTACATGTCAGTGAAACATGTTGTTGCTATATGAAGGAACCATGCAATTTCATTGTTCGCAACAATTTCATCACATTAAATAAAATCGAGTTGGTCCCAGGATTCCTGACATGGTGCTGGAGAAGTACACCGCCCAAGCGGCGCCCATCCAAGCGATGAAGGACACAATTGTGGCAGACCCTGTTTCCCAGTCCATCCGAGCATGGAATCTAGGTTCAACCGCGGTGACCGGATCGGCTGCTGCTGGTGGGACGGCCTCTGCAACAGTGGCAAGAACCGCTGCTTCGCCTCAGTGGGCGGGGGAGACTGTTTGGAACTTTCGACAGCGCATGGCCCTCACCACCATGGATGTGGGTGCATTCGAGAGCTGTTCAACGATTCATGGCTAAATACATGTTGAATCTATGGTCTTAGAAGGCTTGCTCATGATTCATGGCTATCTATGGTCTTACAAGAAAGGAGTTGGCTAATGACATGGCTTCCTTGTTTCATCTCTAAGGGTGGATGCGAAATCGAAGGTGGCCAGGCTGCCCGACCTTGAGGTTGCCATCACAACCTCAAATCAAATTTGGTTGATCAACCGTCTCGACCGCACTTTGGACGTGGAAGCTGGAGAGCTTTTTGGCTTTGGGCTGGGGTCCTATGTAGATGCCAACCCAGGTGCAATCTAATACGGTATCAATGAAGAGGAAATTCCACCTTGCTTCAACAGTTTACTGATTACTGCGCATGAAAGTTGGGCAGTGGATTGGGTCTAAATTTTCTCAACTGTGCCCTGCCAGATCTCTCTTCCAATGAGATGATCCTCTGGAAGTCCACCAGTGACCGCCAACTCGTGGCCATGAGTGACAGCAAGAAGATTTTGCCGATTGCAGAGGTGGTCTGCGACGTGGCTCGTGAACGTGGAGTCACGGAGGTGGTCATGCTGGACCACACCATGGAAGCGAAAATGGAGGCTTGTTGTCCTTTGCATTCATGGGTGTTTTTGAAAAGGTTTTTTAAAAAACACTCACATATTGGTCTAGATTTATGTACAGTTCTTTCAGTTGGGAGTGCATCTTCTCACAGCCGACAGGATGATGGTTCGGGTGGCAAACGGCCAATGCAGTATAGGTACACCATTGTACCATGTGCAAGCGTCAACGCCTTCAAGCCGAAGGAGGTGGCACCGGACGCTGACCGCTTGAACATGAGGAGCCCTGAGCTGGGAGGAATCTTCGCCAAGAGGTGTCAGCAGATTCCGGTGGCTGATCACTGCTCCATGGTTTGGGAGGCCATTCCTTTTGTGCCACATCATGACACTGCCACTCCACATCAATGACACTGCCATTCCTGTTGTACTGCTGGCTTTGTTATGCAATAGCTTTGAGTTGCGTTCCTGATGTTTTTGGAGGTGAAAGTGAGCACCGACGCTCCGGCAATGCTTCGGCCCACCAAGCCGAAGATGTACTTGCTGTGCTCTTTGAGCATTCCGGCTGGAAAAGCCATGAACTTGAAGTAGGACCTCACCTGTAGGGGAAGGTGTGCCATGCCTTGTTGTTCCAAAAGATTTCAATCAATCACACACTCACACTTTTGGATGTTGTGTATCTTAAGATACGGTGTTTCTTTAGGAGCAATGATGCTCGGGTGTGCACACAAGTTTGGATCACTTCGGATCATGTGATCTTCTGATCATGTGTAACTGGTCGCTTTGACCTGCTTGAAGCTCGAAACTTGAAGTTCGAAACTCGGTGAAAAAACACGGCTGGGCTTCCAAGCACTGGCAAGCTCGAAGCGAATCTCCTGGCAAGGTTGTGCAACAGTTTTTGCAACCATGAACGTGTTTGATCAAGGTTCAAGGTCAGGGTTCTCAGTATATTTGATGATAGACTAGTTTCGATAGCACATGCCTTTGTCGCCCGTTGACGAGCTGTCAGATGATGGCGCTGCCAGAAATCAAGGTGATGACAAAACCACCGGTCAGGGGCCTGCTCCTCCAGCCCCCTCACCCAAACCAAAGCCGAAACCGAAGTCGAAAAAGAGTGGAGTGAAAGCAACAGTGAAGGCAGGTTCATCGGTGAAGGCATCCGAGAAAGTGAAGGCAAGTCCCATGAAAAAACCATCGGCTAGTGAGGAGACCGGTGAATCGACGCTAGTCCTGAAGCGTCCATCGGCACTTCGAGCACCTCAACCGCCTGCAGCGCCAGTGAAGGTTGGTAAAGGTCTCTATAAGAACGGAAAGTATGGCTTCAAGGTCGATGGCAAAGAAGTGTTCCATGCAGCTAGGCTTTGTTTTTCTTAGTTTAAAAGCCATGAAAGCAATAATTCAGAAATGCTTGACCTGACTGACAAGAAAACTGTCATAAATTGGCATCTGAGTTGAAACCCGT